TCACAAAAAGACAAATATTGCATAATGGCACTGTTATAAAACAGGACTGACATGGAGCTGGGGGGGGGGATTAAGAGGGGATAAATAATGTACACAGCATTGAAACAGATGAGGGAGAGAACTGTATAAAAGGAATATATGATTAGGTGTATACTAGAGTCCAGAATAAGAGCTGCATAATCATAAGGGAAGGGACTGTATTAAAACAATGAAAGAACTTTTTTCCCCAAAGAAAAAAAGCAAACTGAGGATGAGGGGGCAGGGAGGAAAATGTACAACAATGAATGAATGGAAATCCAAGTTCTTTATAAACTTAAAATCTCAATTAAAAATACAGCTGAAGCTCTGAAAAAAAAATTCTGGTATTTGGAAACAAAGCTCTCATTCTGTCCTTTTAAGACAGGCTGACAGAAACTTGAAACTGTAGAAGAGAATTTTAGGTTACATGGTTTAGTTGTGTTTGAGTTTGCTTACTGTTCTTAATGTTGAACTTGTAAATACTTCTGTGAAGAGCATGGAATGTCCCACAGTAAGTTCTGCCCACCTTTAAAGTTAGTATGCAGTAAAGAAGATTGTCTGCCTTAGATTTATATTACTGTTACTACTACTACAATCATTAGGAATTTTAATATAGAAGCCAATGTTATTTTAAAAAATAGAGTTTAAAGGAACAAATTAAAAGTTGGAATTTTAGTACAAGGGAATGTGTGGGCAAAATCTTGAATGATTCAAGATTTATCAAAAGGAGATAGAAGAAATACATAGTAGAAAAAACAAACAAAGAAATGCATAGTAACTGTACCAAAAAAGAATTGGTTGATACTGGTAGCATGTGATCAAGAACCAGTGGTAATGAAGAAAGACATTCAAAGCAGCACTGAAGACATGGGTCAAAAAATGAGGCCCTAGAAATTGATGGAATGCTAATTGACAAGGTTTTCAACAAAGAGATGTAGCCATTGACCTATTTATTCACTAGTCTGTGCCAACAAATTAGAAAGACGTGGTCACCTGACTAGAAGAGAGGTGTATTCCCATTCTAAAAAAGAGATCCAACAAAATGTGGGCGTTACTGAATATTATAATTAATATCACCGACAACAACTAAAATCTTACTGAAGATTCTTCAGAACAGCTGGAACAACATCAGCAGTTTGATAACTACCAGAAATTCAAACTCAATTCAGAAGATGCTCTTGCACCAGGGAGGTCTTCGCTGACATCAGGTAGATCTTGGCTGAAGGCATGAAATACCAGAAAAATGTTTACTTAATGCTTTGTTGCCTGGGTAAAGTCACTGACAGTAAAGGTCATGGAAATCTCAGAACTCATACATGTTCTCATACAAAACTTTTATTTAGACCAAGAAACAGTTACCTGACCAGAACAAGAGATCACTACATGGTTTAAAATTAGAAAAGATGGGTGTCAAAGTTGTATCCTTTCTCTCCTATTTGGTCTATTGGGAGCTCTGGTGGTGAGGAGCTATACTACTGACACAAAGACACCAGCGCTCTGTGGGAGAACGATGGGCAGTCTCCTCCCTAGTGATTTTTACTGTCTCAAAACCTAGAGTTTTAGTTATGAATATACAACGACAGCATTGCTATTTGTGGTATCAAGATTGGAAGGAAACTTATCAATAATCTGATAGGCAGATGACATAATTTGTAGAAAGTAAAGAGGATTTAAAGCACTTGCTGAAGAATAGACTACAGCTTTAATATGAATTACAGCTCAACATTAAGAAAACAAATTAAAAAAACTCAAAAATTCGTGATAGGTAACATCTTGATAGATGGAGAAAAGATAGAAGTTGTCATAGATTTAATTTTTACTTGGATGTGTAATAAACACCCCTGGTAAACAGCAGTCATGAAATAAAAACATGTTGTATTGAGAAAATAGGCATCTGAAAGTTGGATAATGAATAAAGATGACAGAAGAATCTGTGCTTTCAACTTGTGTTGGATTAGAGTACTGAATTATCTCAAGAACCAACAGGTCTGTCTTGGAGGGAGTGCAACCAGAATGCTCTTAACATGAAGCTGGAGTCTTGGATACTTTGAATGAACATGTCAGGAGGCAGTAGGCCTTGGAAAAAGACTTGGTGGAGATGGTGGAGGGACAGAAAAAGAGGAGGAAGACCCTCAACAAAATGGATTGACACAGTGGGTTTGAACACACCACGTTTACTCCCTTACGCCAAGAGGACTCAGTAAAGTGCTACTGATTGGAATCTTCAGGAAATTATTTTACTTGAGGGTTTAGCCAGATTAGTTTATTAAATTGTTGCAAAAGCATTTTATTTACCAGAGTTGAGATTGTCACTTGTGAAACATTAGAAAAAAATTCTTTTACTAAGCAGATTTTTATGTTTACTACAAAAATATACTAAAATGAATGTGTCCATTACTCAGTTTTAACTGTTACCACAGGGTCAGTGATCTGGATAGCAATAGCAAGTAGATACAGTTTAACCAAGCAACAGTTTTTAGCATTTTACAGTAAATATAATTGGACCATTAATATGGGAGGTAAACTTTTTTATTAATCATTTCTTGTGTCTTAAATGAAAAGATTTTATTTTTTAGTTCTTAAATGCTAAATTTCCTAAATAGTCTGGGTTATTCCAAAGGAAGAAAACATAAGATGTCAAAATATTGATGTCTTTAAAGTTATTTTCAGATACCCCTAAAAAAGTCAATAGTATGGAATTCTTATTTAATCCTAATTAAGATTTAAGACTTTAGTCATATTACTTTATCCCTTTTAACCTTTCCTAAAATATTTTAAAACATACCTCTTGGGCTTCATCCTCTTATGTGAAGCTTTTCATAAAAGCAATATTGTACACATCTATCAAAGTTAACAATTTAGGGAGCTCTTGTTGACCTACTGGCAAGAAACTGCACTGCAGTCCTTAAGGTATGTGGTTTGATTCCACCAGATACTCCGCTGGAAGAAGAGGGACAGTCTCCTGTGTCGGTTGGATCCAATTTGACAGCACACAACACAAAAAGGGGTGGGGGAAGATTTTTTTTAAAAAACAACAACAATCTGTGTGTATATATTCCATCTATATCCATATCATTGTATGTCTAATTCTTTTCATTCATTTGACTGAAGAAAGAGACCCACATTCACAATTGTACTTCTTGGCTAAATCTCTTTTAAGGTAATTCTCAAATTTTAAGTCTTTTAATATACGGCAGGGATTCCCCCCATTCTTTCATGTAATTGTTGTTAAGTGCTGTTGAGTCGCGGGCGACTCACAGCAACCGAGGGAGAGTCCTCAACACTTGGGTGCCTTTCATCCTCTCTCCAGGTTCATAGGGTTTCCAGAGGCAAGCTATTATGGAAGTGGAAGAAACCACGTTTTAGATTACTGTCTGGAATAATTTAACTTTCAGTGATTCCTTTTCCTCATATTTTCTTAAGATCAAGATTAATAAAGTAATTTTTGGTGGTAGTGTTGACTGTGACTCTTAGAGACCCTTTGAACAACAGATTTGATCTTGCCCTATCCTGTGTCATTCTCATGATCTCTGATATAATTGAACCTATTGTTAAAATCACAATGTCAGTCCATCTTGGTGAGAGTCTTCCTCTCTCACACTGATTCTCCACCCTTCTAAACTTGATCTTTTCCAAGGACTCGCTGCTCCTAACAGCCCAGAGTTTGTGAGACAAAGCTTAATCATCCTTGCCGCCAAGTAGCATCTGGTTGCACATTCTTTAGTACGTATTTGTCAGCACTCCATGGAATATTCAGTACTGTTATCCAATACCACATTTCAAAGGCAGCGATTCTTCTGTTCTCTTACTTTCAGATGTAAAGCAAGTAATTAAAAAAGACCTTGAATCAGGTGCACCTTAGTTTATGTATTGTAGGGGTTGCAAAGTGACCGATTTTTTTTTCCTTTGATTTTCTTCCTCATTGATTAGCTGAAGTTCCTCTGTAAAGACATTTCCTCCCAACTAGAGTATTATCCATTTATCATAAATAAAGGTTCAAAAAAAGCAAGGAAGAATATGCAGTTTATATGTATATGGGTAGGAATCTGATCAGTGACTCCAGGGCCGGTGATGAAATATTTAAATGCTCAGCTTTTAAGATTAGCAGTTTGAACCCATGCAGTGGCTTCACAGGGAAAAAGACAAGCTGCTTTTGTAAGAATTGCTAGGTCCATAACCACCATACATTGTAGAATGGAACTGCCTTACAGGTTTCCCTCGTATATGTCGTTTATTAGAGTAGATTGCTAGGGATTGCTTTCTAAGTGACTGGTGGATGTCAGCTTTTAACCTTACAGTTAGTAGGCATGCTTGCTTTACCTTTGTGCCACCAGATTATCCTGTAAAGATGACAATTTAGAAAACCCTGTGGAGCAGTTCTGCTCTGTCCCATAGGATCACTGAATCACAGTCAACTTTATAGCCGGAAAGACATATCATGATCATCCACCCCTGTCGCCCCATACCCCCTCAAAAAATTCCTTTTATGATAAGAAGTCTTCAGGTGAGGACTTTTTGTTTTACTTTTTAAGATGACTGATTTGGGGTTTTGTTTTGTTCGGGGGGGCTTGACTCCCCTCCCCCCCCCATTTCCCTCACATGTCTAGCATTCTTAGTATAGATGTTGGATGATATCAGTTGGCCGTGATTTAGTTCTTCTTTATTAATTCTGTAAGTTTGCCTTTTGGGAGTAGCACTGAATGTGCTCTGTACTAGGTAAAAGGTTAATTACCCTCTTGTTAGGAAATAAATGAATGTTCTAGAACTACACTTTCTGAAGAACCAATGTTGTAATTTGGAGTGTACGTCTTCGGGAATGAATATTGTTTCACTTTAAAATTTATTAAACTGGCTAAAATAATTGGTGCTATAATGGAGGTGGGGGGGTGAATAAATATATTTACTACATGCTAAAACTTGGAGATTATATAACTACCCACTTAATGCTGTCTGAATGACTATCTAACCTTATTGCCTTGTAGGCAGCCTGCTTCTGCAAAATGGTACGATCGAAGGGACTATGTCTTTATTGAATTTTGTGTTGAAGACAGTAAAGATGTTAATGTAAATTTTGAGAAATCAAAACTTACCTTCAGGTAATTAACACTTTTGAATCATTAGAATAAAATGCAAATTTCAGATACTTTTTTCATTGACGTTACTCCCTGTCCTTATAGAGGCATATTTTCTCTTTTTTTAACAGTTGCCTTGGAGGAAGTGATAATTTTAAACATTTAAATGAAATTGATCTTTTTCATTGTATTGATCCAAATGTAAGTACTCTGGTTTTCAGTTGGGAGGAAACATAAACTTCAGACATTTTTAGTAGTAAAAAGTAATTTTCTTTTTAGCAGTTGAGAAGCAAATTAAGAATGTTTTGCATAAAAAAGAAAGCATTTTGCAATATTCCCCCCCCCCCTTTGTTATTTCTCAGCATAGTCTTTTATTCTATACTCGGGGTTTTTATTCTAGAGACTAAGGATAGAATCATTAAAGTGATCTATAATTGTATCATACTTAGAAGTTTTTTGTGGGTGTTTTCTAATTTGTGAAATGCTTAATTTTAGGGTGTTTCTTTAAGAGTTAAGGAAAAGTAGAAAGGTGAGATGAAGAATAGCAAAAGTTACTTTTTTTTTTTTTTTTTTCAAAAGTTACTTTCTATCCTTAAATGATACTGGAGAAAAATGGTGCTTTTGTTTTCTTTTTAGGATTCTAAGCATAAAAGAACGGACAGATCAATCTTATGTTGTTTACGAAAAGGTGAATCTGGTCAGTCATGGCCAAGGTTAACAAAAGAAAGAGCCAAGGTAGGTCTCTCTTGTTTGAGAGTTAAATATATCTATTTTTAAGTATTGAGAGGTATTACCTACTTGGTATATAAGGAACATAGTCTTTTTCTTAACAAAATACTATTAAGCTTGTTATATTTTTATCTAAT